TCTTATACCAGTTTAAAACTTTACGAGATGCCACTCAAATATTTCTTCTCACTGAAATGTCTACATTTCACAGTTTTGTTTATATCTGATACGAACTCTTAGCCTCATGAATTTGAGTTGTTGGCATATAAATTGGAACAATCAATTAATCGGATATACTTAGTCAAGTGGAAGAAGCTGAATGGAAGCAAAATTAGCTTACAATTCTTCTGTAGACATGTCTCTTTAGGAGTACTATTTCACACATGCAATTCCTCATTTCCCTATACTAGGAAATCCCAGCAGATATGCTACAAATACTTGTTTTCATTAGGAGAGAGAATTGAAAATGTCTAGCATTTTTATTACTTATTTTGTATAATATGTTTTATGTGCAACACTTACAACCATCTTTGTAAGACAAACCACATTCTGTACAATGTACAAAGATATCTAGAGTCTGCACACCCCTGGTGGATAAGAGCAAAAGAAAATTTGTCCATATGTTTTTGTCTCATAAAACCATCGTTCAGTTAGGCTTTCTCCATTGCTTCTTTTTGTTTCTCCTTCTATCTTTAATCTCTTTCATTTTTTCTTTTCTCTGAATACTTTCCCATGTCGACTGAACCTTCCCCTTCCCACAATAATAAAAGTTGTTAAAAAGCTTTTATTGACATAATGGAAGCTTTTTATAAAGATCTTATCCCACAAATATGATTGGGTGGGTGGTTGTGAGTTTGGGAGGAAAGTCACAGCATGTGATCTGGGGAGGATGAATCCCCAGTTTCTCTCCCAGCTTCTGAAAAACTATATTCTGAGAATTTCTCTTTTAATCCTCCTTCCATTTTTGTGATCTTTCTCTTCCCCAAGTCCACCACTCAGTTCTCTGGTTAGAAATGGATTTTATTGTCCATTCCGGTGTGAAGGCAGCAGCAGGTCTTTACAAAGACAATAAACAGGCCAGGCTGATTACATTTTTGTGAACAGCTGTATGTTACAGTATAAAGATACCTGAAATATGAAACAAATCTAAGATAATGTCCTTTTTCTTGACAAAAAGCATTTTTTATTTTTCCTTTCAGGATCCATTCTGGGAAATTTTTCCAGAAAAATTAGAATTTATGCAGTTTCAGAACATGCAGCCCTAATAACCCCTTGCAGATAAGTGTGCATGGCCAATGTATCAGATCTGAAAGGCCCGAGATACAGTCCATTGAGATATGCTTTGCCTAATGCCACAGCAAATGCTGTTAGTCATAGCAATCAAAGTGGTGATTGGATTTCACTGAATAATAGAGCAATGTCACACAGCACAATACTCTATGATGGGTTAGAGTACATGCACCACCTTCCTTAAAATAGCGTTTCTGTTCTCTTGTTCTTTCATCACTTGTTTTTTATTCTGCCACTTTTAGCTGCCATTTCGCTTTACCTTCTGTTCGCATAAAATCTTAAGAATGCAAAGTTCTTGTCCTCAGAACTTTGCTGTCAGAACAACCAAACTGCAACACTTCACTACAAATGTGAGCAAGGGTCCAACAGGCCTTCTTGCTGGGCCCTTCAAAACTGTGCAACTTGTCATCACCCATGGGGAATATAGAAGTCGGGTGGAGGTTACTGAAGAAAATTAATAAATAAGAGAATGAATCTTCTTTCTCCAACCTTGTGGTCCTTTTCAATACCTCCCTATTTTTCAGCAGCAGGAGATCTTAATTCCTTAAGAGATATAAGGGGCAAAAAGCAATGAAGCATTTTTTCCTCTTCTCTGCTTATTGGATCTTCCTCCCAGATTCTTCTGCATCACAAATCAAATATATTAACATTTTTTGTAACTGCAAAATTGTGCTGCAGTAAAAAAAACTGGCGTCTATGGTCAATGACATTATTTTTTGAGATTGTGAACAGACATTTAAGTGAAAGGGTTTCATTTATACACCATCAACTACCTCCACAAAATCTCATTTATATAATATGTTTCCCTTATTGACTTATAGAGGCTGCAGCAATTGAAGAACTGGGATGACTAGAACTATTTCGTTGTAACTTCAATATGATCCTAACCTCTTTGGGATGATAGTTTTAAAAATTACCTTGCAAAGTACTATTTATACTGATGGATATTATCAGGATGGTTATGAATATTAACCAGGAGCCATTTATTTATACATTTTCTCACTCTGGCTTGTGCATATAACAGCTCCTACAATTTTTTCATTTGCATGAAGCAAGTTTTTAACTATGGGGGATGATTGTTTTATATTATCATATTTTATTATTGTTTGGTGCACAGACCCATGGAATATAACAATTCATGGGCAATATGTACTTTATGAAAATAAAGCATGCAGTATGCGTGCATTTGAGCTAATATAGTCTTCACAGAAAATCTTTTACATTCCAGGTTATTATTCTACATTCCTACATCAGTATAGAACTTAGGTGGGTAGAGGCTTGCAGAAAGTGATAAGAACCTGGTACATACTGGAAATATTGTATACAGTATATTATTATTTGACCCTTCTTAGGATAAAGTTAAGATGGGTTAATTAAAAATAGCTAAGTGCAGAGCATCTGTTTTTCCCAGTTATCCGAGTAGATAGCATTTAGCTGGGTGGACATAGGTACTAACATGATCTGGAAGACTTTTTCCTGTGTGTGTTCAATTCCCAGAAGGGACAGTAAAGGTGAGTCAAAAGGTGCAACTGCTCTTGCTTTTACACTATTTGCATGATGGGCTGCTGTATCTCTAGGAAGGATACAAAGAGAACCAACCAAAGAAGTTTATAGTAATTCAAAGATATCTTTCTAAAAAGTTGTGCCAAGATAATGCACTGCAGCAAAATGGAAAGTCAATCAGATATTCTCAGCGAGCACTGGGCAATCTGCTTCTGAAGTTGCCCAGCAGACTTCACCTAAATAAACTGGATGTGGTGGACTCTGATCACTCTCCCAGAGAGAGTTCTTCTCAGCAATATGCTTTGATTCTTCTGGAAGTAATCACTAATGGTTACCAGTTGGTGTTTTATTAAAAAGTTATGGCAGTCGGCACATCTCCTCGAGGCCAGTTGTTTTCCTGGATAAGTGACTGTGGGAAAAATGGGTCAGCTCAGCTCTCCTGGCAAGACTGCAACTGATGAAGAGGATGCTGTCATTTCTTGTGCTCCAAATATTTTTAGCCCTGTTTTACATAAGGAAGCACGGCTTTTCTAGTGAATTGTTTCCAGGACATTTGGAATAAATCAGAGGAGTTGGGTAGAGATTGGCCAGGAGCCGCTCACATATCACTTAAGGTAAAGCCAAGGGGTGTCTGCAAGAGGTCAAAAACCTCAAGGGGACAGCCACAGTTGCACAAAGCCCTTTCCCCTTTTTGTGCAGGTAAGAAAATGAGGATGTGTTTTGCACATCCAAGTTTTATAATGAACATAAGTCTGTTATTAAAGATGGTGAGGCACCATAGTAACTGCTTTGTCCCAAATTTTATTCCTAACAGCCAGTTTTTTTAATCATCTGCAATCCATAATCTGTTCCTTATTGTTAAAGAAACACCAGAAAATACATTACTGTCCTAAAATAAGCTGCCACCTGGTCAAAATCTATTTCAGCAGCTCCCAGAGGCTCTGTTGCAACCTATCACATAATGTCTACTTAGGTGCCAGAGTTTTTCTTTACTTGCTCTTTCTTTTGCAACAGGAGCTGCCAGAATAATAATGAATTGTCCTGACTTTCTTCACCCTCTTTTGAGTTTTGCAATGCAGAAAAGAGCGAGATCACGCTGTTTCAATCATGGCCTAGAGATGAAATAAGGCAAATATCATGGAGAGCATTTAGGCTGCCAAATTGCTTTGGTGTCCTATGAAACCCTGATGAGAAAAAAAAGATTTACTTAGGTGTATTCTGCCTTCCTTCTAGGAATTGTAGCAGCATTCCTTCCACCATTTTTCCCCACACAAGAAACCTTTGTTTCTTGTACATTGGATTGAAAGTGACAGACCCAGAGAGCTTCTATGACTGAGGATGGATTTGAATCTGGGTATCCCTACATATAATGGCCCTCCTCTGCTAGCACACCATACATAAAGTAGCAGACAATTAACAAAGAGATATTGGAGAGATAATTCATTCCTGAATAGTAAAACTTTACTACAGCCTTCCCTAGCACATGATTAATTCCAAGGAATTAAGACAGTTGAAATTTTAAACATCTGGAGGTGTGATGGTATGATGGAAAGACCTTGGGAGACTGGGCCCAGAGACGATGGCAAGAGAATGGTCAGATAAGAGGCAGCATAGCCTGCAACTGGATAGTGGACATGGTAAGAAGCTCAGAAGGGACCCTCCCTAATTTTTCAGCCTGTCAAGTCCATGGAGGGGGTGGAGAGGAAGAATTGCTCTTTCAAACTTGCAAGTTAATTATATTGACAGAGGTCAGTGTAGTTTTATACTGACAGTGACTTACTCCCAGTGATAGTTAAATTATTTATATAATGTCAGTGAGTTCAAAGCCACTGTCCTGGAGCACTTCACTAAGATGGCACACAAAAATGAGTGCTGAGAGGATGCTTGAGGCAGCAGCACGTATGAGAGGAAGTTCAAGCAGAGGAAGTGTCATGGCAAGACAAGACCTTGCATAGGATGTACCATCAACAGATAGCTAAAGCAGCAGACACTGAGAAATCCTACCAGTGACTTGAAAGGGCTGGACTAGAAGACAGCACCGAGGCACTGACCATAGCAGCACAAGAACAGGCCCATGGAAATATCAGATCCATGGAAGCAAGGATCTACCGTACTAGACAGGACCCAAGGTGCAGACTGTGTAGTAAGGCTTCAGAAATAGCCCAACATATAGCAGCATATAGTAAGATGCAGGCAGGAACAGCATATACTGAACATCACTATCAAGTAAGGTAGTTGGCATTGTGTATAAGAACATCTGCAAGACCCTTCCAAGTCCAGATGGAAGTTTCCAGAGAAGATTGTAGAGAATAAGAGGGCTGAGATCCTGGGACTTCTAGATCCAGATGGACAGGCAGGTACTAGCCAATCAACCAGACATTGTGGAAATAGACAAGGACCAGAAAACAGCAGTGATGATAGATGTAGCAATGCCAAGGGACAGCAATATCGGGAACAAGTATGAGAAGCTGGAGAAATACCAGGGGCTGAAGGAGGGACCAGACAGAATGTGGAAAGTAAAGGCCAAGTAGTCTCAGGAGTGGTGCACTCAAGGATGTGACTCCTAAACAGGGAGGGTGGCTCCAATACATTCCAGAAACAACATCAGAACTCTTTCCAGAAGGATGCATTTTTTAAATGTTTGAGTATCAAAGCACACACAGAGAAATTAGATAGTACTGTAGAGACCTAACTTAAATCTGGTTAGATGCTTCCAGAAATACAAAATATTTAATATTCCAGTTTTATTGGAATTTGAAAGTAACACTAAGCCCCCCGGTGGTGAAAGATTTTTGTTTTCTCTACAATACTGGTGAAATAATCACACTCTCTGATGTCAGTGCATTAGCTGTTCAGTCAGAAATGTATTTAAAGTTGTTTAAATCACCTTCATTACTTTGATTTACATCATAAGGAACCTGCCAGAATTTGACTAATTGATGCATTGTAAAAAGAAAAAGGGTGGGAGAGAAATGAATGTAATTTGAGTCCAAGTTTGTTGTAGAGGTTAAATTGCTGGCCTAGAACCAGGTGTCTATGAGTTCTAGTCATACCTCAGGCATGAAAGCTGGCTGGGTGACTTTGGGCCAATCTCTCTCTCTCTCACTCCAAGCCACCTCGCAGGGGTGTTGTGGGAGAAAAAGAGGAGGAGAAAGGAGTATTATGTATGTTTACCATCTTGAGCTAAGAGAGGAATTTCTTAAAAGTAACCCTAGCACCATAGAGTCCTGGAGTTGAAAGAAGTCATATAACTAAGTCCAACCCATGTTTCCATAAAGGAATCAAAATAAAATAGTCCTTATGCATGGTTATTAAGCCTTCACTTTTCAGAGAACAGCATGCCATCTCACTAGGAACTTGGTTCAACTATGGAATTGCATTTACAGTTCACTGGAATTAAATCTGCATTCTTGGTCACCAGTGACTGATATCCCAATTTTATGTAATAAAAATATTTATGCTCAGCTATGAATCTAGAGGAAGAACAAAACTTTCTCACTATGTTAGTTTTGTATATTATCAGCAGTCTCGGCAACGAAGGAAAATAAAAGCAGCGCCATTATCTCATAACTCTTAGATGACCAAAAGAACTTGGACTGTATTTCAGAAGGAATTGTCTCCAAAAATGAACTTCAAAGCTCACCCAAAAGCAAATGTTTGCTTATAAGGGCAGGTTCTTGGCAAACACAGAGGCTCATAGTCCCTAAGGTTTTTGCATCTTCACAGGCTATAATTTTTTAGGTTGTTTTTCTTCTGGCATTATTGATTAAATAGTCTTATCTCTGCAACAGAAAGTGAAGTTTCTCAAATTCTGTGTTAAGTGATATTCAGTAACCCTTCAAAGATTGACAGGACTGAGTAAATGACTGGTTACGGTTGGGACTATTGTCATGATAAAAACAAGGGCTTTATTCTGGGTGTAAGATAAAGCAGGAAAGACATTAGGGAAACCATTCCCTTGAATGTCTGAACCCAGTCCATAGAATTGCTGTGGTGACAAAATGTACTGGAAAAACTGTGAAAAAAGTGAAGTGTTTATGCAGATTCTCTGCCATACAGTAAAAAAAATTGTCCACCTGGTAAAGAATTTTGTCTTCCTTTCTTTCCACATTAGATACAGTTATCTCAGAAGGGCTATACTGTATAGTATATTGCAAAATAAAAAGATTTCATATTTCTAAGAAGAACTGTTTTTATTTTACATATAGCACTAGTCTCGAGCATGTTCCAAGATAGTTTTAACCGTTTGTGGTTTATCCCTGAGTAGGAAATCCCTTTCTTACTATTTTTGTGATTAAAATAGGATGTGTGTGCATATGTGTATGTATATACATAACTATTAAAAACTCTGTTCTTTTTATTCAGGGTAAAAAACAACAACATGAAACAGTAAAAAAAAGATATAAAATTAAAATAAACCAACAAAATTTAACACATGAGACAGAAGAAAAGAAAAAGAAAACATCACCAGAGGGATATCAATATTGAATACATGCACACCCCATTGCTCTTCATGGGTTTGGTCAGTCGAAGAGTTCACATAATGCTTTGTAAGGTAGAAAAGACATATTTAGGTTACCTGCATTAGTCCTACATATACCCCATGTGGCATTCCCTGTCTCAGGGTTGGCACATTTTGACCAATGGGACACATTATCCAGCTGCATAAGTTGATCTTAGCACAAATAGCTTTGTCAGACATATAAGGAAGTATCTGTTCAGGACATAGTAATTAGCGTCATCAACACAAGTTGGTTGCACATCTGTTATTTTTCCCTTCCCACTTCTTGCTTTTGTTATCCTTTTGTACCTATGAATCTGTTGGTGCAGCACCCTTAATTTTCTTTCATGCTCAGATTATTCAGTCTTTCATCTTTTATCTGGTGTATTTATATCTGCTGCATAGATTGTTCTTCTCGTAATCTTTTCTTCTTCAATATTTTTCCAGCTGAGTGGTGTAAATAGGCAAAGGTCCATTGCAGCAAACAGAAGCTCGGCCTGTAAATCCTTACAGTAAATCCTCCTCTCTCCAAGGAGGAATCTCTTGCTGAGTCTGCTGCTCCAGAGTGATGATGAGATTCTAAGAGGAAACTTGCCCATCAGAAATCCTGACCAATCAGCACAATCTAGGGGAGGGTTTTAAGCATACACTGAAAGTTGCCTGGAGGCTGCAAAAGCATCTCTTCTGTGCTCAGTTAGTTGCTGTTTCCAGCTCTTGCACAGCAGCTTCAGCAGCTAACCATCACTGAATCCAGGACAACCAGGGGGGCAGACAACTTTTTGGAGGGGGAGAGAGATCAGAAAGATCAACATCAGTGTGAAAGAATTGACAAATCTCTTGCACGAAGATGATGGCATGTACAGAGATGCTGACAATGTGTTTGCTCTCTGCCAAACATGCTTACCGCATGAAAGCCACAGAGACCCCCCAGCACTATGACAAGGGATTAGCAATTTTTCACGATGTAAGTAGTTGCACAGTGCATGCTTTCTATATTTTGTTCATAGAGTGGTTTTTAGAGAGGTGGGTAATCTGGACTGTCAACAGTATATGTATACATGTGTATTTGACCTGCAGTTCTTCTCCCCAGTAATTCCCATTCAAGCTTTCTGAAATGTTGAAGCATAGAAATCTGATTTATTTTTTTAAGAAAAACTTATTAAGCATCAAGAAAGAAAACAAATAAAACTCTTACTTTTCTGCCTACAAACTCTCCATTCTATACTTTTGTAGCAAAATGTGTATCTGTATACACAGTGCAGAGATTATAAGCCAGGAAGGTCAGAAATGGAATATTAGAAAAGGAGGTAAAAGAACTTAGTTGCCATCTTTCCTGTAAATATACGGTAGTCTATGATTTTGAGTAACTGGTGGTTGACAAAAGGGCTTTCCTTTCCTAAAATGGGATTGTGAGTGCACCCTGTCTTTTAGGTCTGTCCTGAAATATTTCAGCTCCATTCATTTTTGCCCCTCATCATCCTGCAACTAATTTATATTCCTTTCTGACCCTATTTTTAAAACAGAAATTCTAAATAAAATCCAATTTATGCATTTTCACTTAGCTGTAGCCCCTGTATTAATAAATGTGATTTATGGGTGGACTTTGATAGAAAGTCATGAAGTATTCAGGTTTCATTTTCGACAAGTGGGATTTCAATTACAATAAAAAATATGCAAATTAATCAAGCATTATATATGCTTATATAAAAGCTAGAAAATCCAGATGTTTTGGAGAACTTCCAACATCTGCTTGCAATGGCCAGGTTGGCTGGAGATGATGAGTTGAAGTCTAAAATCTATCAAGGATATCAAGTTTCCACCAGGTATCAGCATTATAGACGATATACATCCAAAGAAATCATGGCATGACCTCCTTCTTGTAGGCATAGCCACGTTGCAGCGAAGAATCTTGAAGCTCTTTGAAGAATAATACATTTACCTGGACATAATATAAACATGCACTTGTTATACACCTGATATAAACTGCAATCGATTGAGATGTATTTTTTTTAACCTAATAATTTTTAATCAGCTAAATGAAAGAAACTTTTTTTTCAGGAAAAAAACAAGAAGAAGAAGCACTAATTACTATAAAGTTATACAATTATCAGTAGCAAATTGTGTTTGTGTAATGGAGTGTCACTGAATGTATCCAATGACTAAATCATATGTTATATGGATGATGGATGAAGAAAGAGACTGGTAGGATTCAGATTGTATCAGAAGTGAGCAAGGCAGGGAGTTTAGGGCAAAGGTCTAAGGTGCCACTCCATAAAGTTTCCCCTCCTCATTTAAGAATAGTACACATTATTTCATTGTCACTGAAATAATTGCCTTTCTTAAGGGCTGACGTACCAAGTTTTAGACCATTTAACTATTCAAGGGAGAGAGAGGCCTATAAGGTCGTGATTTCCAAAACTAGAATTACCTCAACCACTGCAGAGAATTAATACATTAAAATTCATTTCTTTCTGGAAGTTTCTGGCACACAAATCTGTGTTCCATCTCAGATGCTGTCCAGTTTTTTTTCCGGCCCATTGATCATTTCTGTGAGCTCTTTCCTCCCTAGAACTGCTGGCACAAAAAAGGCAATAAGAACTTTGTAAAGCTTTGCAAATGTTCAAAGTGCTTTATGGGAAATAACTGACATGCTGTATTCATAGTATTTGTAGACCACTTTTTGGTTAAAAATGCTAATCTAGGTTTATAATACCAAGCTAGGGAAAGCCTGCAAAGTATGGTAGAATATATGAGAGTTTGTGTTTTTGCTCTACTCTAATACTGTATCTGTGCAAGCTGTGGGTAGGTGTGCACTAGGAAGGACAGAGCAGGTTGTCTAGATCAGTGGTCCCCAACCTTTTGGGCACCAGGGACCGGTTCCATGGAGAAAGTTTTTTTCCACGGACAGGAGAGTGCATGGTTTGTGTTCTGCCTGCATCCCACAGATGGGGCTTTGCTTGTTTGTGCGGACCAGTTGTTGGCATGCCATTGTCTGGTACTGGTCCACGAGCCAGG